AGTCAGCTCTGTCTTCTGTGATTTTGTTCGCCCAGTCCTGTTTGGGTACGAATCTCTTGGTGTTACTGTCGTAGTATTCTACCTGAAAATCATCAACCATCCCAACAATCACAAACTCTGGGAAGTTTGTGACTTCAGAAGACGCCGTGTAGAAATACTTCAGAGAGTGCATCTCTGTAAGGACAAAATGTTTTCATCAGTTTAATCTGAAACTTTTTGCATCATTGAACAAAAGTTATTATCCAGCACACAGAATCAAAAAACACTTCCAGTACATTCAACCAAACCTGATCATCTCTCTGCAGTCATTAAATACTCCAATTAATTTAGAGATGAAAAGAAAAAGTTCTCCTGGAACTCTTATTCTGATATTTCTGATTCAAGTGTTAGAAAATGTTTTTATACTGAAATTATTTATTCAACAAGTCAAATATTCAAGTGATGCAGTCATGCCCCTGACTTTCATTGACAGATATGTTTCATTAAGTGGATTTTTTATTGACTTCTTGACATCTCATGACTAGTCCTCACGTAGGCGGGTTTTATTATTTGAGTTTTGAAAGGACAGTGTTGGAGGACAGCAACAAAGAAAAACTATTGAACAGTATATGGAGCACAGTTTAAGAAGCTGTGTAGACTGAGTGGAGCTGCACAATCAGCCAGCGCAGAAAAACTCAATTAGAAAAAACTCAACTAAAAAACTTCAACTAAATGACAGATCATTTCTGAATCCTGCATGTTGTCTGCTTTCTGAATGCACGTCGATCATTGTTCTGTTTTTAATCTGCTCTTTAGAAAAATATGCACTGCTCAGAACAAAAAAGCTTTTAGATAAATCTGTGCAGGAATAAATGTAACCACTTTGAATAAAGTCTACAAACTTTGTAGTCTTATTAATGCTGAATTGTTGAGGCTGCTGTGGATGTTTTTTTGACTTTCACAGATTAAAACCATTTATTTCTTTTTGTGTGGGAAACACAAACTGAGCTGTGACGTTTCAGTTTGAGAATAAAGTCGTGACTGCCCTCTGGTGGACAAACTCTGTAATGCAGACTCTGTTTCTAAATGATGTTCAAGCTGCTTCACTGTTTTCTGTCACTTATCGGCCAACATAAGCACAGAAAACTAAATATGTGCAATAAGCTCACATCAGCAGATATGTGTTTCTAGATCCACTAAACAGTCTGATGTTTGACTTCAATGAAATGTTGGAGCTTCAGGGTTTATGTGATCTCAACTAAACAACAAACAAACATGTAAAAGATGAAGATCATCTGTGGAATAGCTTTGAGCTTATTCATATTTCATATACAAATATTCAGAGGTAAAACAATAAACCGAGATTAACTTCATTTTGAGGGTCAGGAGGTTGATTATGTTTCTGATTCTTTGAGCACATATTTGAGTTTGATCCTCACAAAATGAACTTTAATGACTGTGACACTCTGATTATATGTTAATTATCACAATTCATTCAAGTGAAATAAGTATTTATACCACATTAATTATACTACATTAATAACAAAACACTTTTTCTAACATTAAAGTGTCATGAAGGACTTAAAGAGTCCATTTAAATGCTCTGTTAATGGTTTTAGAGGTGAAACACTTTGAAGGCATTTAGTTCTTTTTCTTTCTGAATCAGAGTCTATCTGCTGTGTTCACTGTAGTTATGCTGCTATTTTAACATTCATGGTCCTGTTCATATGAACCGGGCCTTCATCATTTCTCGGCTTGTCTTTTGGAAAAGATAACTAGCAGACACTTTTTATAGCCTTTCTCACAACAACACTTTTCTTGTAAGTATCAGGGTGTGAGGACGTGAACAAACAGGATTTACTAACGTCAAATTAAATGTTCACTTTTCACATTTCAACAAGCTGCTTCAGTCCTGAGAACAAACATCAAATGAAGCTTTCATTTCTACCAACAGTTTATAAAGACATGCGACATTTCCCTCTTTCCATTAAATCGTCTTCAATGAATCTGAACTCACCTGCCGTCGTGTCGTGGAGGAATAATCCCACGAGAGACACAAACACCAGAGTCTTCATTGTGACCTGTGAAGTCTTCAGCTTCAACTTCAAACTTTCAACTTCTTGAGAATCTGCGTGTTTCGAGCTCTGAGGGTGAAATGAGGTGAGGAGAAAAAAGAGAGCTGACTTCAACCTCTGTCTCAGCCAATAGGAATTCAGCCTGAGCACCGACGTCACTAGTAACTAGGTCACATTGACTCAGACAGGTTCTGAACATAGACTGTTAATGTTACTGTTGTGAATGAAAGTGAAAGTTAACTCCGCTTGTTTGAGCCCATGACAGAGCATTGGGAGACACGCAGGACTTTATTTATTTATCACAGTAGTGTTAAACCTTCAGATGATCAGATTATTTTTATATATTTTGTTGGTTAATGTGAAGTTTTAAGAACAAGTGTATACATTTGTGAGAGTTCAAAGGTCAGATACAGGGATAATCTGGAGTTTGTAGGGATGTAGTTGAGTCTTGTTGTGCTTTTGTTCTGTATGGCTGCTCTGGGATTTAATAAAAAGTCCTAATCCAGATATAAATATAGTTTAATATAAGTTATAGTGAGTAAATGTGGTGAGGTGCTCTCCTGTCCTGCAGTAACTCAATGTGCTCTGTGATTATCAGATATTTAAATACACGTGTGCACAATCATAACATTGAATAATGTTATTAAATCAGATGAAGGAGGACGTCTTATACCTTTTTGAAGTACTTATCATTTTCTTCTTTTATCACTTTCTGCATGTGTTGTGTATAACTCTTCAGTAGAGGTCTACACACAGGTCTTAGCACAGATTAGGCCGACTGTCAGGACAATCACTGACACACAAAAGATGGTTTGAATGAAATAACATCAGATCACACTTTACAGATCCAGCTTTATCTGACAGGTTCAATGATCCTGAACTAGTTTGGAGCTTTGGACGCTGAAAACTGCTGGAACAAGAGAAATGTGACACCTTTGTTGATGTTTGAACACCTGATGCTGTGTTTCATTTTGCTCTGCTTTTTGTGTAAACTCAGTCCAAACCTCACACAGGCATATTGTTTTTAATCTATTTAACTTTTATTTTACCAGAAAAATATTCTCATTGAGATACAAGATTTCTTATTTCAAGAGAGCTCTGGCCAAGACAGCAGCATCAAAGTTTCGCACAGAGAGAAAAAGACTGACAATGAACAGAAATAACACGAATCACCACATCAGAAATGTTATTCAAAGAAACATGTGCATACAGCAGCGAAATAAAATCTCCCAAGCCGACTAAAAGCCTTACTTTAGGATGAGTCTGCAGCTCAGACAAGATGATGGACAAACACTAAAACGGCCTGTTTGAGCTCACATTTTCTGAAAAGGGGTGCAGAGAAAAGATGGCGAGGATGAACTTTTGTCATCATTGGGGGGAAACATAAAAGCTTCAAATGTACAAAACGAGACTTGTGGAGAATGCAACCTGAACTAAAGTTAAATTAATTTCAGTGTTTACACATAATCATAAAATATGCAGGATGAGCTCTGTGTAATATAATGATGAGATACCTTTAATTAAAGGATTTGATCTATACTTTATGGTGATGTTCAAAAAATCTGTTCCTTTTAAATAAAACTACAAATCACATTCAAATAATGGAGATGGGACGTAACAATTACCACATATGCAATGGAACGATATGAGAAAAAATATTCAATAATGATAACATTGTTCAATATTTCAATAACGATATGGATTGAAATAAATTAACATAAAGTGTCCTCAAAAGCTGTCTGCTGTTCTTCATGTCTAACAGAACAAAAGTTTTTGCAACATGTCACTTATAAATTAATTTATTTTTTATTTTTACTCCACTAATTAATTAATTTGTAAACAGATGCCAACACAGAGATATCATAGGACCCTTCAAACAACTGAAGGTATCCCATAATTAATGTGAAATCATCAAAGCTTCCTTAGTTAACTTGAGAAGTCACTAACATGGGTAGCCGACGATTGAACGGTAAATAAATGAGAAGCACATTATTTATGACCTCTAGTGGTCACAGTGAGTAACTACAGCATCAATACTGTCAAGTCAAAATAAATTACATTGTACTACTTCCGGTCATCGCTGTTAAAATAAAATCATAGGGAAAGTAGAGAGAAGGAGATCATGTGAGATAATCAGTCAGTTAATCTCTTTTTCATTATAACCCCCTCCTAAGACATATTTTAAACAGCGAGCCCTTCCTCACGTCATTTTAGTTTACATTAAAAATTCCTTCAAAATGTATATTTTTTTGCTTCTTTTAAAGATCTTTTAAATGAATGTTATGTAAAATGTTTGTTATTTATAATTGTTTGCCTTTACTTATGATTTTATGTCTAGACTGTTTTCCGTTTGTTTTATTATTGCTGTCCTTGTAAAACACTTTGTAGCTTGATTTTAAAAATTGTCCTATATATAGATGTTATTATTATTATTATTATTATAACATTATTATTATTATTTTTGAATCTTGTGTGATCACATGTAAAATAAATACATATATTTTTAGTGTGTGATCGTATGTTCACAGAGGCCTGATTATCTGATACATTTTTTATTGTAATAAATAAATGAGCTTATACTATCCCTGATCCAGAAATACAATGTATACTTTCCCCAAATTATTATTATTAAATATTTGACCCTCTCTCAGTCAACTCAATTCTTTCATACATGACGTGTTGATGATCACAGACAGTAAAAACAGAGAACTTTTACAGTTAATTCAAAGCTCTTGTTAAAGATTGTTTAAGGATAATTGTCCTCAATAGTTAAATAAATCCAAATACTCACAGCTTAAGTACAAACACTGTTTGCTTTGTTAATGATAATGCCATATGTGCTTTATTTATATTATAATTACGCTATGTATGACACAATGATTTACTGCGTCATCAATCTGTCAAGGTAGATGTTTATACAAAGAACAACTTCCGACTATCACTATCAAAATAAAAGTTTTGCACTTTGACCACAGGGGGGCAGTGTGTACTCACGGTTATACTTTTATCAACTCTGTTAAGAATAACCTCCTCAAGCTAGAAACAAGAACAAGACTATCGAGGAAGAGGAATACATCATTTCATACTTTTACCTCAAATTAATGGAGGTTGAGGCATTTTATCTCCCTCTTGATCAACAAAGTTTCTGCCGCTAATTCTAAACATCTATGCAAAGCTCACAGGAAAGTTTGTGTCCTCCTGAACAATTCACCAAAACTAGGAAGCCGTTGTTCATGCTGATTAATTAACTTTACCGAATTATAACAAAAGACTTTAATCTTTTTCTTCTATCAAACAGTGAAAGTTTGTAAAGGAACATTATCACATCGCCTTACAGCTCCCTCTTGTTAACGCTAGCTGCACTTTATGAAGGTAATGTTTGACGGAGTGAACAACACAACGCTTTAATCTATGGCCAATTAAGTTATAAAATATCTGTTGTCCAAGATAAAAATGTATTTAATGTTCATTTGAATCAACATCATGTATTCTGTCCGTGTAGCTGTTTTTAAATGTGTTTCTTGTTCTACATTGGCGTATTCAGTATCGTGCGCCATCTAGTGGCCTCAATGAAGAACTACACCCGCAGAGTCAAGTTAGATACACGTAGCGAAGAGATACTTCCGTTAAACCCTTTCAAAATAAACCTTGTATTAAAACGGAGGGATATTCCATCCTGTTCATACTGTGACTGTAATCTATGGTCAGTTTGATGAATAAAATGACAAAGCATTGTAATAGATGATTCCCTCCTCGCCTCCTTAGCTTTTAGTTAAACTCTGCTGGGCTCGTCATCAACCGGAACCGGAACACGTAACATTTTTCATCACTGGGCGCCATCTAGTGGACAACCCGAAAGCTACAACAACATAAGGGGGGGAAACATGATGGGAGTATGACGGCTGCCACACGGCTGATATCAAGGTTGACGCTGGTCACTGGTAAATATATGTTGTAAGATACATGGTGTTGTGTGAAGTGAGACGTTTAAGGACATGCCCTTTTCCCTTTTCAAGATGTTGCGTTCAAAGCCGTGTGTTTTTCTGCAATCTTCTTCAATTCACCAAATCAAAGCAGCTACCTACTGCAAGTAGCTTCTGATATCAAAAAGTTTGATCTCCAAAGTAAGCTGACAATGAATTCATTATTTTAGTGTAACCGTGATTCTATCAGTGATTTCTAAATCAGTACCTCGAGCAGATCGGACTGAATTAAGTTTGATGACTTGAAATGAGAGTGAAGGTGAAAGTGTAGCTGTCATTCTGGCTGTGTGTATGCTATCAATAAGACCTGCAACCATTTCAGAATGAAATGATCTGCCGTTGAATTGTGAAAATACTGAAAAAGGAAACATGTTTAAATGCCTCAGAGTTTAAATCTTTAAATGTCTGGTTTTGTCCGACTTAAGGTTCAAAACTGTAAAAAATGCAATACAGTGTGGATACAGTGAGTGACTGAAAGGATACATGTATTATGAGAATTGTGGCTTATTAATTGTCTTCTTTGACTGATGGAATAAACATTAAAGCTGTATTATGAATGATGAAGCATCACTTGTCCTCTTACATTTTCACATAGAAAAGTGGACTCAAGGTTTTTGAAGACAGAAGAAAGAAAGAAATGTGATTGGGCGCAGATGATTTGTGAATAACAATTGGTCATGTAGCCCTGAACTGTTGGGCTAATCAAACTGAAAATCAATCACATCAAGTCAGCTTCCTGTCCTGTGTGTTTTCTTGTCGTCCTTGATTGATATTTGTTTTTTCAGATACTTCCAGAGTGGATCTTCTGTCACACTCAGTCTTTCCTCTGCAGCGTTGTGTTTAAAACATTCTGTCACTCTGGTAACTTCATGCTACTCTTTTCCCTCCCAGGAGGAGGCAGTGGGATCGGACGGGCGGTATGTCAGCGTTTGGCCTCTGAGGGCGCCTCCGTGGTGGTGGCAGACATCAGCGAGGAGTCTGCCAACGAGACCATGGTGGGTCTGCAGAATGACTCAGAGGACAGGGTCACATGGCGGCTGTGGTGGATGTGTCATCAAAAGAGAGCGTGAAGAAGCTGGTCACCAGAATACAGGTGTGATACAGACAGGAAGACAAGCCAACACAACATGTGTTTACATTTCCATCATAATCAGCAACCTTTCTGTAGAAAAAGGTACTTTTCTCTCTGTGTGTTTTCATGCTGGAGGGGCTATTCCACGTGTTGTTTTTCTCTCCTTGTAAGTTATTGTTCTGTTCCTCTACAGACTCATTACTTCCAGCCTCCCTCAGTGTGTGTGAACGCAGCAGGCATCACGCAGGACCACTTCCTGCTCAACATGGAGGAGGATCACTTTGACAGAGTCATCCAGGTCAACCTGAAGGTATGAAGCAAGTTCAGCGTGTAATCGAGTCTATCAGGTTAACGTCAGAGGATGACATCACAATCTAATAACTAGGGATGTGCCCGTTAGTCCACTTAAAGGTTGGAAGTCATCACCCTCACTAGTCGGCACCAGAATTACAAGTTACAAATGATTCATATTTTTAGATGTTGGCCCTCGATGCCGGTTCATTTGTGCTCAAATTGCAGCACTTCTTAAAGCACTCTTCTTCCATCACTGCTGTTGAGACATAACGTGGGTCGACTTTGTGAGAAGAATCAGAAAGAAAGAAATCAGTCTCTGTTGTCTTCAACAGGAAACAACCGAAGATTCAAGTTTCTCGTTGTTGCACTTGAAGAAAAGAATTCATAAAATGATTCTCTCACAAAACTTCTAAAAAACTGCACGAGTGAACGCAAACAGACACATTTCTACTCCGACTTTATCTGGAATTCTTTAGCCGGCAGCCCCTGATCATTTTTCTGCATGAAGTCGGGTTAGCTGATGTGAGAACGCAGCAGGAAGTATTCAGGTAAATTCACTGTGAGGGAGCAAGAGGGGGGTGGTAACGTTTCTACCTCAGGACCCGTGCACAACCAGAGACTGTATGACCGCGATATGTGTGATCTCTGTGCACGTTATTAAACCGCTGCCTTAAGTTTTCTGTCCTCCAGTATGTACAAAAAAACTGTCATCATAGAGTTGGACTCTGTTGCTCTGTCCACCACCTCTGACTGCCTGAAAATAATGAAGACTTTCAGTAGTGCATGAGTGAAAATGTCTTATTGAGGCTGAAGAACGTTTAGGATTGTTGTGTTTTGTCCACAGAGCTGAATGATTTTTGTTATTATTTCAAACACTCTTTTCTCTGGTGCTGATTTACTGTGAAGAGATGAACTCACTCCTGCTCCTGCGTCTCTTCCAGGGCTCCTTCTT